CTAGGATAGGTGCACTCGACATTAAATTCGAAGCTACCGTCCTAGACAATTTGTATTGCGACGCGTTACTAGGACACGACTTTCTTGTAAACAATGAAGTCTCTTGGGACTACGCCGCGTGCACAATCCACATGGAACCACCCGCCACTTGTCCCGACTTGTCACAATTAGAATTCGGGAACGACCCCGAAACTCGCGCGAAACTAACCAAGATTTTAAACAAATACGCGGTAGTATTCAGCGAAAAAGTAGGACGTACCAAACTAATTGAACACGAAATTTTGCTTAAGGACCCGTCCCCGATCGCGCTCAAACCATACCCATATCCGCAACAAAAACAAACCACTATCGACGATATGGTGCGCGATATGGAACTCCAGGGGCTCGTAGAACCTAGCACCTCACCGTGGGCCGCACCAGTAGTATTGGCAAAGAAAAAAGACGGATCATTCCGCCTCTGTGTCGACTACAGGCGGCTTAACGACGTAACGGAGTCCGACGCGTACCCTATGCCAGATCTCAACAAAATGATTAGACAAATGCGGGGCGCGAAAATTTTCAGTATTTTTGATCTTCGCTCGGGGTACTGGCAAGTACCCTTACACAAAAATGCACGAAAATACACGGCATTTCGAACACGTAGAGGGCTATTTCAATTTCGAGTACTCCCTTTCGGTCTCAAAAATAGTTCAATGACTTTCGTGAGACTCATGAACGAAGTAATGAGGGGGTACCAGGATGAGTTCGTACAAGTATACCTAGACGATATAGTAGTATTTTCAAGGAACGAGTACGAACATCAGGCCCACTTAGACAAAGTTCTAGAGCGTCTCAAGAGGTTTGGACTAACGTGCAACACAAAAAAATGCAAAATCGGACTACACGAAATTTCATTTTTGGGGCACATTGTAGACTCGGAAGGCATACAAAAGCAACCGGAAAAATTAGTCTGCATTGACAATTTTCCGGTTCCACGTAACGTTAGGGACGTACGAAAATTTTTAGGGGTATGCAACTGGTACAGCCAGTTCGTAGACAACTACGCGGACACCATAGCACCCCTAACAAATTTATTGAAACAGGGGAATAGGTGGAAATGGACGGATGTCGAACAACGCGCGTTCAAGTCAATAAAAAACGCGTTAGTCACATCGCCGAAATTGTCCCCACCAGATTACAACAAAACATTTTGTCTCCAGACCGATGCAAGCGAGATAGGAGCTAGTGCGGTACTATTCCAACGGGGTGACAGACCGGAGGAAAGACGCATCATATCCTACGCAAGCAAAAAGTTTAGCGAGACACAGACGAGGTACGCCGCGGTAGAACGCGAGTGCCTAGCAGTAATTTGGGCAACGGACAAATTTCGACCATACCTAGAGACCCGACGTTTTGAACTACTAACAGATAACTCGGCACTAACATGGTTATACAGGGCCAAAGACAAAAATTCAAAATTAACACGTTGGTCACTACAACTAGCTAATTTAGATTTCAGTACGGTACACGTCCCGGGAATACAAAACGAAGCACCGGATTTGTTATCCCGCGACCCAGCACCGGGGGCACCCGTAGACGAAGATCAACTTGAGGAAAAGTTGGTAGGGGCGCCCGCAACGCCAATAACCAAAGTAGACCTCAAAACCGATCGTATCTTTTCTATGCGCGATAACCAGGTCAGTGACGACGACACACCACTCACCGCGTCAACGCTCGAAAAGTGGCAGTCCGAAGACGCCACGATTTGCGACGTAGTCGCCGGTCACAGGGGGGACGGCCCTGCGCAGAACACTAGGAGCTCAAAATCGGGAACAAACGCATACGTTTTTTCCGAAGGACTCCTACGTATAAACGTAGGCCCCCACACACCCGTCGTGATACCAAAAACCAAAGCGCAACAGGTAATATGGAGGTGTCACGATCACGTTCTGTCTAACCATCCGGGTTGGAAAGAAACATACAGGGCGGTACGACAACGGTATTATTGGAAAGGGCAAAAGAACGACGTAAGGTTATATGTCGGGGCGTGCCACGTATGCGCGTGCACGAAACCGCTAAACTCACGCCCAACCGACCCAATACAACCTAGAACCCCCCGCCAACCATGGGAAGTTATCAGTGTCGATCTGATGGGCCCATACCCACGTTCCGGTAAGGGAAAATCGTATATACTGGTAGCAACTGACTGTTTTAGTAGGTGGACCGAGGCTTACCCCCTAGGAACAGCAACCTCGAAAACAATAATCGAAACGCTAGAACGCGAGTTCTTTTCGCGTTTCGGTTACCCCCGCGTGTGTCTCAGCGATAACGGCCCACAGTTTGTGTCAAACGAAATGTTAGACGCGTTAGAACGTTGGGGGGCACAAGGTTGGACGACACCAGTCTACCACCCGAGGGCCAACCCGGTAGAACGCCACAACCAAGACATAAAAAAAGGCTTGCGCGCAAGGCTGGTCGAGGGCAAACATAAATCATGGGACACAAAGCTACCCGAAATTCTATTTGCAATACGTAACAGGTGTAACGAACAAACAGGCTACCCACCCGCGGTCCTTGTCTTAGGCAGAGAGTGCAAGCGACCCGGGGATTGGACGGTAGGTAAATCGACACCAACGCACGTCCGCAAAAATCAAGAAGAAAGGGTAGCGCGGGAGCAACGTATTTTAGGCAAAAAGGTAGTGGTAACACCGAGTACGAACACTGGCACACCGGGGAAGTTCGGCAAGGGCGACATAGTCTACTACAAAGCACATCACATATCGAAGGCACATAAGGACTTCCATGCCGGATTTGCACCAAAATGGTGGGGACCGGTAAGGCTAGCAAAACGGGTCGGAAAAGGAGTTTTCCTTACCGATCAACAACCGCCACGGAAAATACATGTGTCTTGCCTAAAACGCGCGCCCATAGGACAAAAATAAAATAAATTTTTTTTTTTATTTTAAAATTATTTTTTTTTTGTATTCACTACTAACCACCTCTCTCTAGCACCACGGCAAGACAAGGGGAGGACAGATGGGAACCAGTGGCGGCCCTGATCAGCCAACTTGGGTTGGTCCACACAGACATGCCGACAACAGCCGCGCAGGTACGCCTTACAGATACTGTTACAGGACCCGGTGAGGGCGGCAATTTACAACCGTGGATGGGACGACCGGACAGCGGACGTGGAGCGGCGGTTGCGTCCACAACAGTCATCCACACCACACGGCAGCCGCACCAACTCCATCACACGGCAACAACGCCCACAACAAGCCGGACCCCACACACAAAGGGCCCCCACAGGGGCAACAAGGGCAACCGCCCCAGTACCACCCAGGGAGCCAGCACCGGTACCCGTGGTGGTAGGGGGAAACCCAACCGCAGTAGTCAAGGTAAGGACGGAGGCGCAGCAAGCACGGATCAAAAAAAAGTTCCAAAAGTTGAAGGAGAAAAGGTTGGAACGGGAACGCCAGGCAACGCAAGCACATAGGCTTGCCAAGCGCACCCAACCAACCTCGAATCCCGACACGGCCAGCCGCCCCCCAACCGAACCTACACCTCCGGAAGCCATGGAGGTTGACCAATCCGCGACCAAGGACGAAAAGGCCGAGGAGCGGGGGGGGTCAACCAGCCAAGCTCAACCACAACCAACGTCGGACGAGGAGCAAACCTCCTACGACGCATGGTTGGATGAGCAAGACAAGCGGCTGGAGGGGCTACAGGGGGGGGGAAACGGTGTACCCACAACCCTTCTTCACCCCAGCCACATCCCCGACAAGGGAATAAATGAACACGGGAACGGCAAGCCTACCCCAAGCACTGGCAAGGGGTAGCGCAAGCTACAACACAAGGGACGCCGGCACCGGTAAAATTGTACCCCGTGCGGCGGTTTGGCGGGGGAGTATGATACGGTACGCAACCGACGACCAGTACAAAGTACAGGCGTCGGAGCTACCTATCTGCACTTCACAAACCGCCACCACGGGCTACAAGCGCGACACCGCCAACTCTCCCACCACGCCGCAAAGGCAAGGCGGGACGGGGAGGCAAGGCGCGTAGGACGAGTACCGGCCGCCGGCTCTCTCTCGTTCTTCAACCACCGTCACGATCTGATCTCGTACCTAACCCACGCGATCCATCGTATCCGTTTTTCTTTTTGTACTTGATATTTGTAAAATACTTGCATTCACCCGATCACGGGGTTTTATATTATAACTATTTACCGTTCACGTTAAATAAACGCCACCCGGCATTTACACAACCACCACGTTCGTGTTTTCCGTTTGTTGATTTCGTTTATTTAAACTATTAAGTTGTGCGTTTGTGCCGAGTGCATCAACACGCACCCACAACAACGACCGGCCTACCAGCATACCAGTGTAGCCGTGTCAGGGGTACCCCCAGGCCCGGCGGTAAGGGTGAGGACGGAGGCGCAGCAGGCGCGGAACCGCCGGAAGTTCCAACAGCTGAAGGAAAAGAGGAAGGCAAGGGAAAACGAGGCAAGCCAACAGCGTCGGCTTGCCAAGCGACCTGCGCTAACCTCAGACCCCGAAGCAGCCAGCGCACCTCCTTTAGTCAAACATTAGTCATCGGTTACTCCCGGAAGGTAAAGCCGGATTCACAGCTACGTCGTGTGTCTCGTCGTGTTGGTCAATTCGCATTCTGATTGGACGTTTAACTTTTGGTATGTTGGTATAACCAAGTTTAAATCGAGGATACCTAGAATTGAATACATCTCAACTTTTGTCGTTTCTGGTATAAACGGTTAAAGAGTGGTTATAGATTATTAATTTACTATCACTATTATTATTGAATATTGACTAAAATTACATGATTGTGATTACTGATAACAAATTTCGAATTAGCGATTTGCAATTTGCATATTTTGTAACTGCGACAAGCCGACAACTACTGAACTACGCTCGTCGCTCATACATGTTTACAGTCTGTCGTCATCTGCATCATTTTATATAGTTATAGGTATTGCAATATTGAATATTTATAGGTACCATTTTGCCATGTCTGTTGTGGTTAAAACGTGTTCAAAATGCCAAAGGTTGTATTTGCCTCATTTCGTCCACGATTGTAATGTACTAGGTATGTATCATGTTAAGAGTACAGTATAATAATTACATTTTCAAATAAAATATTGAAGTTAAATTTTAATAATATGTTTTTATACAGCCTTATGTAGGTAACTATTCAGTTAACAGACCTACTTTAAATCATAATACCATTATTATTATACTGTTTAGAATTGTAATTCAATATTTGTATTATTAAATTACATTTTTTAATATTTATAGATACTTCATTGGTACCTAGCACATCACAATCGCCGGATCGAGTGAGGACAGCAATTAAGCCACAACATATTAGGCCAAAGACTACGGAAATAGATGGTGACACAGTTAGGAATGAAGCTTTATATTCTTCCATTATTGGGGCAGTGCTTAAACATCCTGCTTTGTGGGACCATCGTCTACCTTTAAAGGACCGGACTGAAATTAAAAAAAGAAAATTATGGGAATTGGTCCATTTGGAGTGTGAAGGTTTGGTCCAATCATTATCAAGCTATTTTGTATTATTATTGAATAATGGTTTGTATTTATATGTTCTTTTGAGGGTTTGTTGGGGTTTTTTTTTTGTCTTAGGTAATTATGATGTAACATCTATTATGAATAAGTGGAAATATTTGAGGGATAGGTATGCTAGAGAAAAAAAAAGTTACAAACGTCCATCTGGTAGTGGCAGTACACCATTGAAAGTATGGGAGCATTTTTAGGAACTCAAGTTTCTCGAGGACATTGTAGCTGTTGAACCAACGTAAGTAATTTACCATGTTTTTATTTTCATTAGTAAATTATATTAAATGTAAATTACAGCAAACATTCAATACTACATACTATATATGATAAGAATGAAATACCAACTTTAAAAATATGAATTTTTATTTTGTTATTTTTCATGATACATATATTTTTTTTAGTACTTCTTCAAACTTGTCACTTGAAATGGACAAAAGAAGTCCAACCATTTCAAATGCTTTGTCATCAAGAAAAAGTAAAATGTTTATGTTATTTGTAGTTAGATGAATTATGTCGTTATTATAATTACAATTGCTATAAATGCCTATAATTATGACATATCTATCTTATTTTAATTTATTGATCATTATATTATTTCTTAAATATCTTTATAAATCAATACTAATTGTTGTATATTAAAATGAAAAAATAATATGGTCCATATAATGCTTTTAGTAATTATTAATCACAATAACGAGGATGAACAATTACAATGAGATATAAGAATACTTTAGTTTGAATAGAAACCAAAAAACTAAGAATTGTAATGATCAACATTAATTAATATTATTTTATCATTAACAAAACTATTAAAAAATTCTACATATTGTGTGATTTTAATATAAATGTTTACATTTCAGGAAAAACGCATGATGTTATTGGTGAAGCTATATTAAACGAATTAATATCGTCTAGGCCTAAAACACCACCACCACCACCTACTACAACACCATCAGTGACTAACACATTTTGCACCTATTTGATGGAAACAATGAAAGATTTACCTAATAATTTAAAAATTCAATTGGAAGAGGATATATTAGCATTGGTGTTTGCTGCAAAAAAAAAGCACCGTTCAAAAGATTAGTACAAGTTTTATTTTTAGTATATGTCTATTAACTTTCTTTTATAACTGTCTCTGTTGGTACTCTAAAGCTCCTGCATGATTAACATATATTTTTAATTTGTCCCTTTTTTCTTTGGCATTTGAACTATAATGATTTGAACCTGCACGGTTTATTGGGACTAACCCTTGTAGTTCATCTGTTTGCATGTTGCTTGCACTGCATGATATGGTTTGGTTGTACATGCTTATACCTGTTAACGTAATATTACTATATTATTATTTTTATTAAAATATTATTCCATAATATTTACCTGAGTCTGTTTCTAACTTTTTTTATAAAGTTGTGTAAAACAATTGTTGCTTTTGTTATATTTATTATTGTTTTTTCTGAAGCTATTATTGGCTTTCTGAAAATCCTAAATCTTGATGCTAGTATGCCAAAAGCATTTTCAATAGTTCGTCGTGCTCTGCTTAACCTTAATATTTTTTTTTTGGAATATTTTATTGGTATAATTTTAATATTTGAAAAGTAATAATTTTTATTAATAATATATCACCACATCCATATTAAGTGTCTCAAAAAACATACTACATAGAAAATTTGCATTCAGTAAATAATATCTACTAACATAAAATCTTAAACATTTCTCTAAAATACTACTCAATTGAAGCTAAAAAAAAAAAATTGGTTCTGTTAAAAGCAAATTTAGTATGTTGTACATTAATAATATGTGGGTAAAGTGTATTCTTATAGTAAATGTACCTATAGTTGAAAATGTCTTCATCTTTTGGCATAGTAGATCTTCCACGACCAGGATATGGCCTCATCAAGTATTCGGTAAGTGGAAATGCCCCATCTCCTACCATAAAGTATGGTATTGGTCCATTCACACCATCAATTTCTATAGGTTCAGGTAAGTTTATTGTTTTATTGGCAAAAGCTTTGCCAATATTACTACTCCTGAAAACCCCTCCATCGCTGCATCTTCCCGGAGCCCTAATATCGACCAGCAAAAAATTATAATTGGCGTCACACATAGCCAACAAAACTGTACTATGTGTACCCTTATAGTTGAAATGGGTAGAACCATAATTTGAAAAAGCCTGAAATATATGGTTAGTATCTTTAGGTGGGATAAGAAATAAAATAAAAATAATTCACTTGATGAACAATATGTTTTCCATCAATCGCTGCAACACAATGTGGTAAATTCCACTTGTCTTCAAATTCTCTAGACGTTTTTTTCCAATTTAAGACACTTGGAGTTAATAAAACCTTAAAATATTTAATGCTATTTAGTATGTTGCTTAGGTATATATTTTTTGATCATGACTCATGAATCATTTATGTTAAGTATACTTTACATAAATACAGGTACAATTGCCTGTAGATTTTTAAATACTATTCCTACCTTTTTCTCAAGAACCTGCCAAAGGACTGAACAGCATTCACAAATCAATTTTTATATTGTTGAATGACCCATACGGAAAGAGTACACCAAAGACATCATACTATCTCCTGAAGCCAAGTATCTAAATAGGCATATTATTTATAAATAAATAAGTTTTATTTACACGGAAAAGATAAATATAATAAATAAATAAAAATAAAAGTATTATGCAACTCATACATACCTCAATGTACATGATAATATTTCACCAACAACTAAAGTATCCTTTCTAAAACTTGGAAATCTTGTTACATGAGGACCAACCAAACAAACTAGCTCTTCAAATATTGTTGAGCTCATTCGGATAAAATTGTGGTACAGTGCTGAGTTGCTGAGTTGTTGCTCGGACACTAAATTGCTGTAATCGCCATAAAAAGGACGATCTTGCAGTATCGGTCGCACATGCCATCTTCTTTCAGCACTAGATAATATATTTATATTAAATCAATTTAAAATGTATCAAAGACAATACATTTAGAGGTAAAAACTATAATTTTATGCAAAATTAAATTTCTTTCCTTAAACTTTAACTAAAAATAAATAAATAACTATGTACATTTCAAATTAATTTGTTTGCAGGGATTTGAATTATGAACTAAATTCAGGGAAAGAAGTCCACCCCTGGATTGACTTGAGAATGACAGATTTAAAGTCTACTAAACTTTTAAATGTACAAAAGGAAGTGTTCAAATTAACAATGATGATAAATATGGATGATGATGTGGTAGTGGAAGCCCAGACAGTCCACAATTGGATAAAAAAATTCATAATATTTCCATTTAGTAACATGGTGGATGCCAAATAGTAAGCGAATTAAGTGTTATTTATTTTGTTTTAATTTGGTGTATTTTTTTAAAATTTAACAACAGCAAAATTAATATGTTGTAATACATTGTAGGTGTGAAAACGTTTTTACCTGGTAAACAAATGCCACCAGCATATGCAGTTGAAAAAAACATGAAAACATTAGATGGTAATATACTATATGCGTGTAAATCGTATTAACTAAATAATTAAAACCATTTTGTTTACGAATTAAAGATATGGGCTTTCATTCTTCATCATCATCAAGCGTCACTGATGACGATGACGACGACGAAGTTGATGCTGCACAACTAAACACAAAACAAGATAGCTTTCATTCATCATCATCATCAAGCACCACTGATGATGATGACGACGACAAAGTTGATGCTGCACAACTAAACACAAAACAAGATAGCTTTCATTCATCATCATCATCAAGCACCACTGATTATGATGACCAGGGCCCTCTTGCTGTTGAAGCCAGGCGTAAGTTTTAATTTTTAAACAAGAGTTTATTTAATGTATGTTTTTTTAAATTTAACAACATCCAAATTAATATGTGCTAATACATTTTAGGTCTGAAATTATATTGGGCTGGTCGTGCTTAGTTCCTACCATGGGAATGTAATCAGCAGTCTGGCATTGTGCATCCATCAGCTGCAACTAAACAACAGGCTGAAGAAAAGAAAACCGAATTAAAAGGTAATATACTATATGTGTGGAAATCGTAATAACTAAATAATTAAAACCATTTTGTTTCTTAATTCAAGATCTAGTAATATACTGTGTAACGATGCAGAATTGCCATTCTATTTAATTAAAACAAAATATGTGTCGCCATCTATGTATGCGTCAACTCGCGAACGAAAACTATGACGCGCGCCGCCGTCCCGACATGAATACCGACTCATATCATAAGCTTTTTACTTTGACAACGTATTTGAGTGCGGTGAATAATGCAAATCAACGCTGAACAACGCCCTCAACACAACCAACATGCCACGAAGTTTCAAAGAAGTTTATACGAAGAAAAAACACAACTTAAACGAAGAAAATAAGAACGTCATGACGCCGTACAGAGTGCGCGCCGTCACACATGTTTTCCGACCGTCGACAATTCCTACGACTACGGAAAACAGCCACAAAAGTCCGTAAAACCATGGTGACCATCGTCTTCCCTAGAAGATTTCCCACCAGATAAATATAGCCGCCCACGGGGTAGAAGGTCTGTAACTTACATAAACTTGCTATAATCAACTACCAAATTCCTGCCATACAGCGAACCACCAGTAATGCGAACATAACAGAAATACAAGCCAGTACGGCCTACGAATTCTTTCAGTTCAACATTCAGTACACAGTCTATAACCAACACCGTTTTCTTTCACAGTTTAACTTACCGCGTTTAATTCTCGGTGTGTAACTTAAAAAACCGTCATCTCCCGCAAAGCCCTCTCCTTATACTCACAGTGTGGGTGGTGGTACGCCTCAAAACGTACTGTTCAAGCCACTCACACCTAACAGTAGACGGAGGGGAAGAGCCCCACAACACTCTCGCTAGGTACGGTGGTGGTACGCCTAAGAACGTACTGTTCAAGCCACCGGTGCCCAGTAGCAGCGGTCGTTGTCCGTCCCTATTGCCGCCGCCGCCGCAACCGGTGAACTCGTGATTCCGTACGCCGCGTGTTACTGTTTTCACCGCTAATCACGAGTGCCACTATCGCACCTTGTAATAGTGTGTAGTGCTGTTGCCGCAGCCGCTACAACAAACGCGCCGCCGCAATATTATCAAGTCATTACTCATTACCGTATCACAGCTGATGTTGTCGTCGTTACCACGTATCGCAGACGTATTGACGGTTCGGACGTACGACAACAAACGTGTGATATTGTGTTGATAAATATCACAATACCACCGACAACGTTGGAACCAATTAAACAAGGAGAGTCCAGTACCTGTGCCCCGAGGACGAGTCATAGCCACCGCCCGGTAACACTTTTTCGTTGTTGTAGTCCAGCACCACCAACAGAGTCGGCTGTCATTGGACACCATACAACTTTATTTGTTCTCTCACTTTCACGGTCCACGTGAGTCTTTAATATTTATATTTATCATTACACATTTAAAAAAACATATCTGTAGCTCAACGAGCGTATGTATTTTAAAAGAAAACACTGTTAAGCAAGATTGAATAAGTTAAACATTTTGAATTAAAATAAAAATATCTGTAGCTCAACCGAGCACATGTAAAACGAAAAGAATATATTGTAAACAATTGAATAAAAATAATAATTCTTTTCAAAACGTAAGAATAAAGAAACACCATATATTAAACAAAAAACAACCTGTGTTTTGAATTCTTACAACTTTGGGTGTGTAAATGTTAGTACCTACCTAAAAAATTCTTTTTTTCTGTATTTAGTGAACAACCAAAACATTAAGAAACAAATCTTATGCACGTACTGCCCCAAGTCATTTGAGTTTAAATCCCATTGGTTGAGGCACAAAGCTACACATATTCAGGCCCAGGCCAAATGGAAATGTGATATTTGCCTGAAATGTTTTACAAGAGAAGATTCAATGATGCGGCATAGGGAAATTCATGAAAAGCGGGAAGTATATCCTTGTCGCCGCTGTAACAATACATACTACTACTTTGATTCACTGAAACAACATAAGAAACAAAAGCATTCCAAAAATCCCAATGTAGAATTCAAGTGCAATGTGAGCGATAAGTCATTTTTATCACAAAAGACATTGACCTATCATTTAAATATGAGTGCCCAATTTGTAAGCAACAATTCAGCCAACCTTATCAGAAGAGTCGCCATATTAAAAAAATGGTAATTTATAAAACTTAATAATTCAAACATAATAACTATTAACTATTTATATTTTTATTTTAGCATCAACAATGAAGAATACAGAAATGGTGGACTAGGGCTATAGGCGATACCACCTTGATAAAAAAAAACGCGCTTATGTGTAAGACCCCTTGGGTAGTGATAGCATTTAAAGTTCAAAAAGGGTGGGTAAGTGGATGCCGCTCTGCTGTACTGTAGGTGACAAGTGGGTCATAGTATAATGGATGGTATTAAATTTGAATTCAATGATATAATATCATTGTATAAGAAAAACGATTCTGAGTGGAGACGGTATGTGAATCTAGGTATAAGACATATATACTTATCGATGGTATTGAAAAAAAAATTCACCTATAACAGATACCTATAATAAATTCCAAATTAATCATATCACAATATCCATTAGGTATCATATATCCCCGAATACTATTTTTAAATACAACGAAAAACCAAGATCGTTAATATTGATTTTAATATGTAATTTCGTCCAAATTTGGATTTAAAATGTCTGTAAAAAACAACTGTGTTCATATATTTTTTAGATTTTTTGCTTACAGTATGAACTATTTATGAGAACCTTTGTGTTGAATTTGGAATCCTTAGCTATAAAAACTGAACATTTTATAATTTATTAATTACAATGATTGATAATTTTCGAGATTTTGATAAATTTTGTCAAAATTTGATCTTTAAATGCTTATAAAAGAAAACTGTGCCTATGTACTTTTAATATTTTTCAACTGCTATTGTAACAATATATCAGGAGCCTTGTATTAAATTTTTACACTTTTTGGCCCAACAGATAAAACTTTATTGATATTTATAGAAAAAAAAACAAAAAAAAATTGAAAGCTGTAAATGTCCATTAACAGCTCAAAAAGAGTCAAAATATTTTCAAAATTGTATGGTGTATAGAAAATGCTAATTTAAACATTCAGTGAAATGTTCATGTATCTACAGTTGTTCGTTTTTGAATTGCAACAAAATAAGGAAATCGCTATATGAGTAATCGAGTGAATATCCAATGTTGTAAAAATTTGAATTTCAAACGCTCATAAAAATTTAATTTGACTGTCTGGTAGAGATTTTTTTATTGATAAAGGTAGATAATCTTATAAGGAATCTTCGTGATTTTTCCATATTTTGTCAATTTTTGAACTTTAAATGCTTATAAAAAAAAATTGTGACTAAGGATTTTTAATATTTTTCATCTGCTTTGAAACAATATATTAGGAGCCTTCTATTAAATTTTCAAGCTTTTGCAACCAACAAATAAAATTTTATTGATATTTTTAGAAAAAAAACTAAAAAAAAAACGGAAAATGAAAATGTCCCTAAACAGTTCAAAATAAATCAAAATATTTTGAAAATGTTATCGTGTATAGAAAATGCAAATATAAACAACCAGTGAAAATTTCATGTATATACGTTCATTTGTTTTAGAGTTACACCAATAACCAAAATCGATTTTAAAAAATTCACAATAAAAATTCACGTTTTTCCTTAATTTTTATGTTGTTTTTCCTGGCGCTTGTGAAACCTACTGGGAAAATTATACTTTTGACCCCCAAAGTACCAACTAGATTCATTTTCCTATCAGAAAAGCTACTGATGAAGAAAATCCAAGC